AATGTGTACCATGTAACACTTCATTCAATATGCAAACTCCATTCAATACATTCAATATAAACCATTCAATACATTCCATGTAAACCATTCAATCCCTACATTCAAACTACCACAATTCAATATATCATACAAAACTCTATTCAACTGTTTTCAGATAATATTACAGCTGATTTCAACCCTATAACTATGTGCTTTATTCTTCGGCTCTTGAACTTCTTTCTTCAAACATGCAACATCCTCTTTAACTACTTCAAGTTCTTGTTCTAAATCTGGAGTCCCAATCACAGGTTCATCAATCCATTCCCAATACTTACACTTCTTACCTGGTTTCTTCGAAATCAAATATAAAGATGGTAAGAAGCTCCAAATCCTTATTTATTAGAAGGAAAATCAAAAGTACAGAGGGAAATTAAGATCAGGATACCAGAGAATTGGGGCAAACTTTGAACTTTTTGTTAGGGTTGTCTTTAGTATTGGATGTGCATATTCGAATTGGGAGTCGACAATCACAAAGCTCCTCTTTCTTTGCGTGGAACCAGATGAACTGGGAGTCGAGATCTTCTTCTTCGATTTTGGGTATGGGTTCGAATGTTTTTTTATTGAAGTTAGGGCTAGGCATCGTATTATAATCAACGGAACTCAGAGATGATCCACGTAGGAGTGTTTTCTTTTAATGAGTTTCCACATAGGCAGCCATGTCACCAAATATTGAGTTTCCACACAACAACAAGTTCAAGGGTAAAATGTGAACAAAAAAAATCAGGACTAAATGTGTACAAAACCAACAATATATTACCATTTTAAGTCATTATCCCAAAAAATTAATAAATAGTAGTTATCCTTTACGTAACTTAACACAAATTAACAAATAGTAGTTCGAGAGGTTTTAACAAGAAGGATGTAACGTAAAAATACCTATTAAATAAAATCTTATAATTTTCAGTTTATTTAAAAAAATAGATAGAGGACCTCAGAGCTAGGTTCATTTGTTTAAACTAATGATTGTGTTATTGTATGCATAAATGTGGGCCAATCAAAATTAAATAAAAAATTAAATAATTAAATAAATAAATAAGGGTAATTTAGTAATTTGTTTAGTAACTTCCAAAAATAATTCCTATAATCATGATATTGACTTTTAACCTAATTTCTTCAGGTTTATAAAACCTAGAAGTCACTCCATCGACCAACCCGCCCACAGAAGATCGCTACCACCATCATTTGTTGTTGCCGCCACCACTATTGTTTGTTGTTGCCGCCGATCTCCAGTCGCAATTCGCTGTTATGGCCGCCGGTAATCAATTGAATTAGGTTCGCTTTCGGTTCATCAATTTGGAGTCGGAATTGAAATCGTATCGACATCAACTGGAAACAAAGGTTTGTGATTTTGTCTCCAAAATCGGAACTCGTTGTTACATTTTGATATGAACAGGTCTTGGAATCTTGATTGATTACTCAAGAATTTGAAGTCTCTTGTTGTTCGATTTAAATACCCAAGATTAGAGTTATGGACTCAAAATTGAAACGGAAATCTTGTTGATTTTAGAAATCAAAAGTCACAATTACAGCGAAAAGGGAATTTCGCATCTGGAACTCAAAATCGGTTTCTGTTCATCGTTATAGACATCAAAATTTCGAGTATCAACATTGAAATCGGAATTTTTATTGGAATAAAATTGAATTCGGATTTGCACAACACAATCGAGATGGAAAATGGAATTGTCGGTCATCAATTTCGTCATTTTCAGAAACTAGATCAGAGGATTGTAAACGGAAATTTGATTTTGACTTTTAGGAGTCAAAAGCGTGTGCTTTTTTGTTCGTATGAAGAAGATGACTGATGTTACAGTCTTGGTCCATGCAACTTCAACGTTTTAACTATTCCGGTCCTCAAATGTTTACAGACTTCACAGATTTAACCATCCTCTCACACTTTCAGCGTCAAATTGAAGAATATGGGTTATATTTTCATTTTACCCAATATCCGAAATTCTTTTCAAATTTCTCGGATTTTTACCATTTTTATCCCTTCTTTGCACTGCTACAGATGGTGGCGAATTCCGATTCTGTGGGAATTAAATGTCAATATTTCCTTTGTGATTTGTGTATTTTCTACGATTGTAGTTCTATCGGTATAGAATCACGAATTCCGATTCTACTGGAATGAAAGCTTGAATTCTGATTCTGTCAGAATAGAATCTTGAAGATGAATATTGTATGGGATGAAGATGAACAAAGACCATCAATCTTCCAAAAAAGAATGGATTATTCTACCATAATAATATACAATGTATTGAAAAAACTATATATAATAGTATATTCTGGTAGAATGATTTATATATTGTGTTTTTTTGTTATTAATAAGTGTAACATTCTGATGTAATTCTTAACAATTGTTACCCGTATTCTATCAGAAATTATGTATTTTTTGTTTTTATTCTTCAATTGATTGTTTAAGAATTTGTTATTCTACAAGAAGTTGTTAAAGTCATGATCAAGAAATGGGTTAAGAATATTTTTATTATTTATGGTTCAAGAATATTTTTATTTTGAAATATACTCATAAACATATTCCGTCAGAATGTCCGAATTAAAAGAATTATAATTCGTAAAATCAGATTTTTAAAATTAATAGAATCTATGATCCCTTAAAATATGCGATTTTCCTTTATTAAATCTATATTAATTGACTAAAATATCCTTGTAATTAAATTAGATGATATTTTTGAGTTATATTTAATTCAAAAATATATATTAATCACTTTCTTAAAATAAGTAAAATTGATTGGCCCACATTTATGCATACAATAACACAATAATTACTTTGAATAGAATAACCTAAGCCGAGGACCTCACATCTTTTTTTCATCTTTATCTAAACGGAAATGTAAATCAAGTGGCCCCACCGCCAATACTCATAAAAATTTTGACCAGTGACGAATCATGGGCAGTTCAGAAATTTCCGTCTCCGCCGTGGAATCGCCACTGGCTTCAATTCTTTAACTCTTCACATTAAACATCATGGTCCGCAATGTTTGTCTCTATCAAAATGTAGCATCAACTGATGGCTGCCGGCGTCAGAATCGTCGGAGTTGGTAACATTGGAGAAACGCTGGCGGAAGTAGAAAGAGAAGAAGGCCATGAAGAATATATGATTTTTGTCCTCATGGGCTGACTGAGGAGTGGGTTTAGTTGTTCATCATTTTTCTTTGATGCAAAGAATTATCGGTCCATGTAATTCTTACATCGACAATGAAGTTTCAGTTCGCAATGTTTTGTTAAAGAATTTTAATCTCTTTATCTTTTCGTTGAAACTCCTTAATTGCAACTTGCAACTTTTGGGCCCACAAATTTGTGGTGGGAATTAATTTAATCCACATATTCACTGTAAACAATAATTGAAATCGATCTCTGTTCATCCAATTCATCAACATCTCTTGATAATTGAAATCATTCTCTTCATCCATTTCATCCACATCTCTACTAACTATATTCTCTGCTCTTGCCATAAACGATGGCTGAAATCGTTCTTTCTGCCTTCTTGACAGTGGTATTTGAAAAGCTTGCATCTGAAGCCTTGAAGAAGATTGTTCGCTCCAAAGGAATTGAATCTGAGCTCAAGAAATTGAAGAATACATTAGACCAAATCCAAGATCTGCTTAACGATGCTTCCCAGAAGGAAGTAACTAATGAAGCCGTTAAAAGATGGCTGAATGATCTCCATCATTTGGCTTATGACATAGACGACCTACTTGATGATCTTGCAACAGAAGCTATTCATCGTGAGTTGACCGAGGAGGGTGGAGCCTCCACCAGTATGGTAAGAAAACTAATCCCAAGTTGTTGCACAAGTTTCTCATAAAGTAGTAGGATGCATGCCAAGTTAGATGATATTGCCACCATGTTACAAGAACTGGTAGAGGCAAAAAATAATCTTGGTTTAAGTGTGATAACATATGAAAAGCCAAAAATTGAAAGGTATGAGGCGTCTTTGGTAGATGAAAGTGGTATTTTTGGACATAAAGATGATAAGAAAAAATTGCTGGAGAAGCTGTTGGGGGATAAAGATGAATCAGGTACAGGTAGTCAAAACTTCAGCATCGTGCCCATAGTTGGTATGGGTGGAGTTGGCAAAACAACTCTAGCTAGACTCTTGTATGATGAAAAGAAAGTGAAGGATCACTTTGAACTCAGGGCATGGGTTTTTGTGTTTCTGATGAGTTCAGTATTCTCAACATAAGCAGAGTTATCTATCAATCTGTGACTGGGGAAAACAAGGAATTTGCAGATTTAAATCTGCTTCAAGAAGCTCTTAAAAAGAAACTTCAGAAGAAACTATTTCTAATAGTTTTAGATGATGTATGGTCTGAAAGCTATGGTGATTGGGAGAAATTAGTGGGCCCATTTCTTGTAAGGTCTCCTGGAAGTAGAATAATTATGACTACTCGGAAGGAGCAATTACTCAAACAGCTGGGTTTTTCTCATGAAGACCCTCTGCATAGTATAGACTCCCTGCAATGTCTATCACAAGAAGATGCTTTGTCTTTGTTTTCTCAACACGCATTGGGTGTACCTAACTTTGATTCACATCCAATACTAAGGCCATACGGGGAATGGTTTGTGAAAACTTGTGGGGGATTGCCTTTGGCTTTAAGAATCCTTGGGAGGTTATTGAGGACAAAAACCTATGAGGAAGAATGGAAATCTCTATTGGATAATGAGATATGGAGTTTAGGAAATGAAGATAAGATTGTTCCTGTTCTTAGACTAAGCTACAATGATCTTTCTGCCACTTTGAAGTTGTTGTTTGCATACTGCTCCTTGTTCCCCAAGGACTATGTGTTTGACAAAGAGGAGTTGGTTCTGTTGTGGATGGCAGAAGGGTTTTTGCAACACTCTGCTGCAAGAAATTCAATGTAACAGTGGGGTCAGAAATGTTTTGAAGAGTTGCTTCAAGGTCATTTTTTCAACATGCTCCTAATGACAAATCGTTGTTTGTGATGCATGACCTTCTGAATGACTTGGCCACATATGTTGTTGGAGACTTTCTTTCAAGGTTAGACATTGAGATAAAACAGGAATTTGGGAAGGAACCTTTGAAAAAGCAACGACATATGTCATTTGTTTGTGAGGATTATGTGGTTTACAAAAGGTTCGAGCTATTCAGAGGAGCTAAAAATTTGAGAACATTTTTAGCATTGTCTGTTGGGGTGGTAGACATTTGGACAACATTTTACTTATCAAATAAGGTCCTGAATGACATACTTCAGGAGTTACCATTGTTAAGGGTCTTAAGTTTGAGTAATCTTAGGATAAGGGAGGTACCAGAAGTCGTGGGTAGTATGAACAGTTGCGGTATCTTAATCTATCTCGAACTTTAATCACACATTTACCCGAAAATGTCTGCAATCTTTATAATTTACAGACGCTGATTGTTTCTGGCTGCTATGAATTGATTAAGTTGCCCAAGAGCTTCTCAAAGCTTAAAAATTTGCAGAATTTTGACATGAGGGATACTCCTGATTTGAAGAAGATGCCCTTAGGGATTGGTAAGTTGAAAAGCCTACAGACTCTCTCCAAGATCATTATTGGAGGTGATTCCGGCTTTGCAATAAAAGAGCTTAAGAAATTGCAAAATCTCCATGGAAAAGTTGCTATTGCAGGGCTGGGCAATGTGCAGAATGCAATGGATGCACGTGAGGCAAACTTATCACAAAAAAGGTTTACTGAGTTAGAGTTGAATTGGGGTTCCGAGTTTAATGTTCTTGGAACGGAATTACTTGAAAAAGAGATCCTTAATGAGCTGAGGCCTCATAACGGTACTCTAGAGAAACTCGGAATTACGTCATATAGGGGTACAGAGTTTCCAAATTGGGTTGGGGGTCCCTCGTTTCTTCGGTTGACTAAAGTGTCGATAGATGGCTGTGAAGAATGTACGTCTCTACCAAGACTTGGGCAACTGCCATCATTGAAGGAGCTGTTTATTGGTAAGATGAGTAAGGTGAAGGTTGTAGGTTTGGAGTTTCTTGGGACCGACCTTGCATTTCCTTCACTTGAAATCCTACGGTTTTCTAGTATGTCAGGATGGGAGGAATGGTCAACAAATAGTGGGGCGTTTCATTACCTTCAAGAGCTTCGAATTTTAGATTGTCCTAATCTGGTTCGGCTCTCCCTTGAAGCACTACCTTCACTAAGGATTTTGAAACTAAGAAAATGTGATCATGGTGTCTTGAAAAACCTTGTTGATGTAGCTTCAACAATCACCAAGTTGGAAATAATTGCCATGTCAGGGCTTACTGATGAACTGTGGAGAGGTGTGATAGGGTGTCTTGGGGATGTAGAAGAAATAAGCATCCGTTCTTGTAATGAAATAAGATATTTGTGGGAATCAGAAGCAGAGGCAAGTAAGGTTCTTATGAATTTAAAGAATTTGGATTTATATGAATGTGAAAATTTGATGAGTTTAGGGGAGAAAGAAGAGGATAATATTAATAGTGGGAGCAGCCTAACATCTTTTAGGAGGTTGAAAGTATGGAAATGTAACAACTTGGAGCATTGCAGTTGTCCAGATAGCATGGAGGAATTGACTATTGGTGATTGTCATTCAATTACATCGGTCTCCTTCCCAACAGGAGGAGGGCAGAAGCTTAAGGAACTTCTCATTACTGGTTGCAAGAAACTATTGGAAAAGGAGTTGGGAGGAAGAGAGAAGACAGGGATGCTTATAAACTCAAAAATGCAGATGCTTCGATCAGTACATATATATAAATGGCAAAATCTGAAATGGATCATTGCGCTGGGTTACTTCATTAACCTCGTCAGGTTGGCAATAATAGAGTGTCCAAGTATGGAGTTATTTCCTGACCATGACTTGCCAAATCTCACCTCGTTAACACATCTCAGGATAGAAAAGTGTACAAGTATGGATGCATCCTTTCCTCGTGGGCTTTGGCCTCCCAAATTGTGTTACCTGAGAATAGGAGGGTTGAAGAAGCCCATCTCAGAGTGGGGCCCACAGAATTTTCCAACATCACTTGTTAACCTAAGATTACAAGCCGGACCATATGATGACATGAAAAAGTTTGATCAATTGTCACATCTTCTTCCTTCATCTCTTACTATATTTGGCATAGAAGGATTTGAGAAACTGGAATCGGTTTCAACGGGACTCCAACACCTCACCTCCCTCCAACGTCTCTTCATTGAGAACTGCCCGAAGACGAAAGATCTACCAGAAAACTTGTTGCCTTCACTTCTGGTATGACCCTCTGTTTGCCTTGGACTTCTTTTGTTTAAATTGATGGCTTATTAATTGAGTTCGAATGTATTTTTCTCACATTTCCACCACTTACAGCCATGAATTTTGAAATGAAAGCATCCAGAGGAAGTAAAAGATCAAACTGATGATGGTTTACAAAGGAAGACATTTATATGTTGTTGCTTCTAGTTTACAAGGTTTGTTTCTTTCTGACTGATAAACCCTTATGCGATCTTAAACAATCTTTAATAGACAGTGGTTTCCAAAATTTACTTAATTTTACTTGTTCTAAATTTGCTTGAAATGGAATCTTGATTTATAGGTGAATGACTTTACTTTCCAACAATCATTCATGGAAGTTAAGTGCAGAACTCCTGCTGATGATCTAAGCTGTAAAGCTTCAATGATTTTTATATGTAGCATCTTTTCAATCATTCAAACTAGGCCCATTCTCTTAATTTCTAAAGGCAAACTCAATAGAAATTCTTATATGATATATTTTCTGATATTTACTTGTTTTCTAGACCTGATTCAAACCAAAGAGAAAGAGAAGTGTCGGTTTTCATGAAGTGAAATCCTATGAGGCATGGTTGTTTGTTTTGTATAGGAAGACTATGTTTGAAAGTTAGATTAAAAACATAACAAAAATAGAGAACTCTGTTCCAAGAAGTTGAAAACAGAGTTCTTGTCACTTTGACTTTCATTGAGTGTTGTCACTTTGACTTTCATTGACTGTTGTGATTTTTCTTTATTTATTTGTTTTTTCTGTTTTCCACTCTAGGTTTTTGTGTATTTTCTTGGACAAATTCCATAGAACCTATTTGTTGTTTGATTTTTTTGTTTGGCCATTGTAAGATTTTTTTATAATTAATGACATAGATTTCTTTTTTCTAAAAAAAACAGCTATGAGTTTTTTCCAGTTATAAATTGCAAGAAGCAATAGATAGTGGTGGTTTTTTTTTTAAAAAAAAAAAATCAAAGTTTTATCAGCTAAATCATAAGCAAAATTATTTGAGTGGCTAAACCGAATTAATTCTATACGATAGTGATTTTCATAGAATTTAAAGTTTATATAATGTTTTTTTCTTAAATGAAAAGAAACTCTCAGTTGTTATATCAGAAAAAATATCTTCAATTAGAAAAAAAAAAAAGAAAAAAGTAAAAGTAAAACAAATTACAAGGTATTTTTAAGTAAATTTGGCCTATTTTCTTTTAACAAACTGTATTCCATGATTATATTGTGGTTTTTATGTTTTTAGGGTACTTCCTAGTAAAATAAGAATCATATTCATGGTGTATTGTCTTCTAGTGAAAAACTAGATTATACAAATAGTAATACAACATAAGCGTAAAGTATTTCTTTTGTTTATGGGTTGCAAAATACTTAAGTAAGCATACGTTCGATTTAAATTCACTACTAGAAAACAACTGTAATGCCAATCGAATTTTAGCGACATAAAAATTTGTCGAAAACAGCGACATAATACAGACGGATTTTCATGGAATAAAAAGCCTAATTATTAGGATTTTACTATGATTTCCATACGGTTTAACAACATAATCCATTTGGTTGGTAATCTGTTACATTACTACCCAAAGGAACTCAACAAGTTTGCAATCCGCCCTTAATTATGATTCCTTCTTTAATATAACTACGTATTATAATATTATTAATTTTTCAATCCTCCGTTGATAGTTTTGAAACGGATTACCATTGGAACTTATATAATATTATTCTATACTTCAAATTATTCACTTTGACTAATATTAGTGGCAATTTGGCTATTTCCGTATCTTCAGGGTCAATTTGGTAAATATTTGTATAGTGTAGGGCAGTTTCTGTTATTTATCGTAATACCTCTGTACGCTATTTCCTTGAGATCGAAAACAACGTAAGTTATGGCTTGAAGAGTTTGGCTTTGGCTGAGTCGATTGCATCTTCTTCGATTAATCGATTTCATATACACACATCTACATTTCACATTCTCTTGTTGCTAATTTGCTAGTTGCGATTCCACATCTACCTACGACAGAGATTAGTGTTAGCGACTAGCCTACTATTTTCTTTGAATGGCATGTTCATGCACGGATTATGTTCAGGTATTTTACAATTATCTGTTTTAGGAGCTTCTAGGTGTTTATGTATGGGAAAAACCAGACATTGGTATGTTAATTTCTGTTTTGCTTCATTTGAATTGTTTAGGTAACATTCGATTTCATTTATTTTGCTTTCCATGTACTATTGCCGAGATGATTAAATTTGTTGCAATTAAGCTTGTGAGTATTGTAATGGTCGTTATAATTTTTGTTAATTAAAAATTATTGAAGCTAATATCAGAATGTTGTCATTTCTAGGGTTATTGAAACAAATGAGCTAATTGTTTTGATAGAAATTGGGATGTTTAAGCTTGTTAGGAGAAATGGCGTGTAATGCAAGCATTCATTAATGACTAGATGTTAATTTGCGTTTCTTTAGTATCTTTTTTAGGAAAAATGAAAATTTTTCCCCAAATTTTAAAGGTTTGCTTCGAATGATTCTCTAAACAATACATCATGGGTTGTATGAGTCCAAGTTATGCAAAGTTCCACAAGGAGCTTCAAAGGAATCAGTTTCATTGATACTCCATCACCTCGCCTCCCTCCAGCATCTCTCCATTTACCTAATAATATTATTTCAATACAATTATGTGTTTCCTCAAAAATTTTGTCTGTTGAACACGACTCTTTATATGGGAAACAACAATACTTTTATTAAGACACTTAGGAAGAACTTACACTTTGTGAGACTACTACACACTTTGCTTTCTTTGAGGCTTTCTTGGATGGTTTGGAGCAAATGAGCTCTACACCTATTTATAGGCCTGCTAGGAAGGTTCTAGATACTAGTATACACTTACTACATACTAGATAACTCTAGAACTATCTAACATACTCTATAAGCTTCCATATGTTTCTAGAACGTTCTAGCATGTTCTGGAGAGGTCTAGGTTACTCCAGTGTCTTCTAGAATGATCCATAACCTTCCAGGGTCTTCCATGTTGTTCTAGAGTATTCTAGACTCTTCCGGTATATTCCGGAGTCTTCCATAGTCTTTCATAATGTTCTAGAATCTTCTAGAGCATTCTAGAACAAGCTAAAGTCTTCTAGATAATATTTGTTCTATTGGGCTAGTGATGATCTTTAACACTCCCCCTCAGCACTAGCCCTCATTCTTCGTACCATGTTAAGCTAACAGCGAAAACCTTTACATTTTCCAATACTCAGCCCTTTGGTGAACAAGTCTGTTATTTGGTCATCGGTCTTCATCTGTCGCATCCCAATTTCTTCCGTCAAGACTTTTTTTTTTCTGATAATGTAATAATTCACTTCCACATGCTTTGTTCTAGCATGAAATACTAGATTTTCTACCAGTCGAATTGCAGATTGGTTGCCGCAGTGAAGTGGTACCGCATAGTCAACGTTTTGATGTAAGTCCTCCATTAGGAGTACCAACGATGTACTTTCTTGAGCTGCTACGACCGCTGCTTTGTACTCCGCTTCCGTGGTTGACAATGATACTGTTGGTTGTCTTTTACTGCACCATGATATTGGTCCTGACCCGAGCATGAACACATACCCAGTGGTTGATCTTTAAGTATCATGGTCTCCTGCATAGTCAGCATCACAATATCTAACCAACTTGCAGTCTTCTCCTCTTTTATACAAGAGACCATAGTCAATTGTACCTTTGACATATCTCAAGATTCGTCGGGCAACATCCAAACGAGGTTTCTTCGGACTTTGCATGTGTCGACTCATAACTCCAACTTCATAAGCAATGTCAGGCCGAGATAAAGTTAGGTAGATAAGACTACCTACTAGTTGTCGATACATCGTTCCATCGTCCAACTCTTTTCCTTCATGAGCACATATCTTGGCATTTGGCTCTATTGACATTGATACTGGCTTACACTCCAACATGCCAAACTTTTGAGGTATATCTCTTGTATACTTTTGTTGGCAGAGGAACAACCCTTCCTTTATGCGATCAACTTCTAGCCCCAAGAAGTGTTTAAGCTCCCCCAGTTCTTTCATTTGGAATCGTACCGATAGGTTTTCTCTTGTTTGATGGATTTCTCTTTCGTCATCCCCGGTGATGATCAAGTCATCCACATAAACCAACACAATTGCCAGCTTCCTTTCTTTTTCTTTAACGAACAGGCTTGAGTCTGCATTTGCAACTGAATAACCACTTCGGGTAAGAAATTCAGCAATCTTACAATACCAGGCTCTTGGTGCCTGCTTCAATCCGTAAAGAGCTTTTCTCAGCTTGCACACATGATTGGGATTAGCTGCATCCTCAAATCCCTTTGGTTGGTTCATGTAGATCTCCCGGTCGAATTCTCCGTGCAAGAAAGCATTTTTCACATCCATCTACCATAATTTCCAATATTTACTAGCTGCAAGAGCTAGCAGCACCCGTATAATAGTTATCTTCGCCACTGGACTAAATGTTTCATCATAGTCCAGTCCATATTGTTGTGAGAACCATCGAGCCACCAAACGAGCCTTGTATCTTTCAATTGATCCATCTGGGCGACGCTTTATTTTATAAACCCACTTGCAGGAAATGGGTTTTATGTCTCTTGGTCTTGGTAATAGTTCCCAAGTTTGATTCTGCTCTAAGGCTGTAACTTCTTCTTCCATTGCCTTCTGCCAAGCTTTATTCTTAAATGCTTCTTCATACGTCTCTAGCTCTTTAACACCGTCTTCTAAAATGGTCGTATTAGCATACTTGGGATTAGGCTTTCAGATTCTTTCTGTCCTTCGAAGTTGTGGAGGCGGTGTCTCCCTTTCACCGGCATCACTTGTTTGAGTTACTTATTGCTCAGTGACAACAGTGTCATTTGGATCTTCAGGTGTGTCAACACTTGACCAAATGTGTGCAGTTTGCTCCCCCATCTTTTGTTTTAAAATTTCTTCAATATTTTCCGAGTCTGGTAATATTTTCTTCTCTGAGGACCACCATGAAGATGCTTCATCGAACACTACATCTCTTGAAGTGTAGCATCTTCCACTTGTTGGATCACAACACCTCCATCCTTTTCTTTGATTGTCATATCCAACAAATATACACCTAACTGCTTTCTTGTCAAACTTGCTACGTAAATGACTAGGTACAAATACATAGCAGACGCAGTCAAATACTCGGAAGTAGCTAACATTAGGTTTCATGTTCCATAGTGTCTCAAATGGTGAGATGAAACCTAACCTTGGTTGGGGAAGTTTATTGATCACATGAGCAGTAGTTCGCATTGCTTCAGCGCAAAATCTTCCTGGGACATTCTTCGCGTGTAGCATGCTTCGACAAATTTTTGCAAGATGTCGATTCTTTCTTTCAGCTACACCATTTTGTTGAGGTGTGTTGGCACATGTGAATTGATGACATATACCAAATTCTTTCAGATAGCGATTGAATTCTTCCGAGGTGTA